CGACGTCACTATTAATATGGATAATAAGTTGAAAATTGTTTATATATTAAAGTAATTTGACGTTAGTTGTTGGAAACTTCCAAAGCTTCATTTAAATGAACCATTTGAGATGAATTACTTGATTTAGCTTTATTAATACTGACTAGTTGTTAATTTGTAATATTGCAAATCGGATTCCACTACAGTTGGGAACTTGATAGTGACTTACTTTTGACGGAAGAATCAATGATAACAATTTAAGAGATGTATCATTATTGAGGATGGCTCTAAAGAGAGTCGAAACGTTTAATAAAGATGATTACACATTATGAATATTAATCTTTGGATTGGAATTTAATCTCTGGCACCTTCATTGGCCATGATTCTCATTAGCCTTAAATTTATTGTTCATTTTTATTTTTGAGATTGTGAATGTGTTAATAATTTGATATCTAAACAGAGAATGATTAATAATTATTCGAAACTCGTTCCTCTATTATGTAATTTCACGAGTTTTTTCTTTGAGCTCTTAAATAAAAAGGGAAACAATTAAACGCTTATCCATATAATCAATTATGTACAACTTACTACATTCATGTAATTTTCACATATCGACAATAGATTGTTAATTAATTAATTTTAAACAATATAAAGAATCTTTATTTTAATTAATTTAAGTGTTAATTAACTTAAATTTCTTTCTCTATTAATTTAAAGTTTAGGATCTCATAAACATCCCTCTTACTTTGCAAACATTACACATGGTCCAGTCTCAAGTTATATTAAGTTCCTTAAAATTTGGATCGACGCTCGTCGGAAATAAATGTTGTAACATCTGTATGTTGACTCATATTCCGGAGCGACAAAACGTTCGATTCGATATTTGTGCGGATACCTGCGAGACAAGAATTTAAGCGTTCTTCCATAACCTCTCCATTTTCATTCTTTGTTTCTCTAATCGAATCCTAAATTAAATTTCCAAGGGTTTGGACGTAACATGTACTTACCTTTGAATCTGATTGTTATAAGTATGTATACATATAGTATAGGATGATTTAAAATAAACGTTGTCCTTAAAGTGTCATATTCCTGACTTAATTCTAAAACGATTTTTCCTTTGCGAAAATTTTGTCTGAAGCTTAATTTTCAAATTACAAGAAGAAATAGCGTGTCACGGGTCGCATAGAAGAGACGAGCAACAACGGCACTCAGGGATAGACGCGGACGCTTTACGCGCAGAGCGCATACTGGACGCATTCACTTATAAAAATAAGTTTCTTCTTACTTTTCCCCTCTATCATACTATCTCTTTGTCTTTCACATACTTTGAATATGTTAATTTCGTTAAATTATAAATTAGAATGATGAAATTAAAATAAATATTGAGCCCTTTAAATATCGCATTGTTTTTCATTTTTACATTGTAATTTTACAATTACATTGATAAAATTATTAGAGAAATATCATAAAAGAGAGAAATTAGAAAATAATTTACATAAAATGATAACCATTAAAACTATTATTGACATACAAATCAAATAATTATTTCAGTACATCGAATTCTAAGAGTGTTTCTTATACGACGTACCGAAATACTTATTAGACTTAATTGGACGTCAATAGGCGTTATAATACTTGTAGCATGCAATTAATGTCCAATTTCTCATTTTTATAAAAATTTTTCTAACAATTTTATCCGCGCCCGCGTTTCATAGCAATTATTACATACTTATGAGAAGTCTTATGAGAAACGCGATCACGTTTCTTAGCAGTCAAAGAGTTATGAATGTTTAAAACAAAAACGTAATCAGATATATTTTAAAAGCTTATTATTATTTTAATCGTTATTACCTCTAGATATTGAATGATTCCATTTTTCTCTAGTTTCTCGAAACAGTTACAGGAATAAATTTGAATGTACCGTAATAGTGCTCGATACAATAGTTTATTGTAATTCACTCTCTTCACTCAAATATTAAATGTCTTTTAAATACGTAGATATCAAATCATAAAAAAAAAAACAAATCGTACGTTTCCACAATAAGATTCTTCTTTTACAAATTGTGTCACGTTTCAACATATTGATACTTCGATTACGTTCACTTGATAAAACGAAGAATTTATTAACCTATTTATCAATTAATCATTGACAATCACAAACGACTGATTATTCGGCGATTGAAAATCACACGAAGAAAGAAACACGTCTGTAAGTGCGTACACAACAAAACATGTGTCAACACACGTGGCAAGTAGCTGATTGATTTTTTTACGGATGCAGTGAGTATAGAATCACTAGGACAATATAAGAAAACAGCACCGTTTGGGAGCGACCGAGAAACCCTGATCATAGCGTGGTGGATTGTCAGATTGATAATTAGCGGAGCGCCATCTCTTGGCGACTATTTCGGAGCGATCGTTCGAACTCCAAGCACCACGCAGCACACGTTACTCTGAAAAGAATAACGATAGAGACTCCTTATTTTTTGCTTTTATCTCTCTTCAGCTTCCCTCTTTTATCCTAGACTGAAGAAGAAGTACGTGTTCGGTGTCTCTCAATTGTTATCATAAAACTCGATCTCTTGACCAAGAGGGTTGATCGCGCAGTGTCTCACAATTAGCGACGTATGTCACAATTTAATAACGAAACAACCGCTATGGTGTCAAGCCAACCGAGCAAGTTCGCACAACGAGTTCATAGAGTGTCAAGAGAATTGCGATTCGATCACGTGCGCGCAATGTGCTCAAGCGAGAGCAAACGTGCTCCGAGTCAGCAAGCATTCCTTGGAACATCGCTCCACGCAAATGTATCACGAAGAATTGGAAATAAAATCTCAAAAACAGCACAAATTGCGTTATTTATATAGAAGTAGTCTCCATTCTCTCGCTTCACTCCTGTCCTGACTTCTTAATGTTTCAAGCGAAATGAGAATCAGGCGCAAGCAATACCGCGATCACACACATTACACGCGCATCTCACATCAAATCATTATGACTCGGATTCTCTCAAACAGGCGCCTTATATATTTATGCCTTACATACTTATTGAAAAGCTTGTAGAACATGAAATAATGCAAAACATTTTTTATTGATGTATTGTATAATATATTTTATATTATAATCATAAGGAAATGTTATAATTACAAAAAAATAATATAATTATGAAGAAATAATATATCTGTTTAATAAAAATATCAAATTTCAAATAAAAACATAGTTTCAAACAACGATGCGGCAGTATCAAATGTGTATATCTTCAAAAGAAGGGCGCCAGTGGGAGAGTAATAGAAACGAAATGTGAAATCAAAACAACCCCTACAATATAAAGTTGCACAAAAGTTGCAGCAAAATTACATGTTGCAGCAATATCGCAGAGATTTTGCAACGATTACTGCAAATTCCGTGCTGTACAGGAAAAAACCTGGCAAGTTTTTTTTCTATACAAAAATTGGGAATAACGCAACACCCAAGCCGAGACAAGACAAACACGTCTCTCCCGATTCATGCTCGTTGTGAAACTAACTTTTAAGTATGAAAGTGTAAAGTGCAATTACACTTATGCAAGAATAAATCCACACTACTTTTATTGACCTATGCCTATTGACATTTTGAGAGTATGGCCAGATTCTGGGGACTCTAAGTGAGTGCAATTCACCTAGCGCCTTAGTGATGGATGAACTACATTCACTGCATCCATAACCAAGAAAGTCAGTCAGCTGTTTGCCACATGTAAACACATCTTGTGTACGGACTTACAGACGTATTTCTTCTTTCGTGTGATTTTCAATCCCCGAATAATCAGTCGTTTGTGATTGTCAATGATTAATTAATAAATTGATTAATAAATTCCTCGTTTTATCAAGTGAACGTAATCGAAGTGTCAATATATTGAAACAATTTATAAAAGAAGAATCTCATCGTGGAAACATACATGTGACTTGATATCTACGTATTTAAAAAACATTTAATATTTGAGTAAAGGAAGTGAATTACAGTAAATCGTTATGTCGAGTACTATTACGGTGCACCCAAATTCATTCCTCCGACTTTTTCAAGAAGCTAGAGCAAAATGGAATCATTGAACATTTACAAGGTAATAACAGTTAAAATAATAATAAATTTTTTAAGTGTATTTGGTTTACGTTTTTGTTTTAAACATTCATAACTTTTTGACTGCTAAGAAGCGCGATCGCGTTTCTCATAAGACTTCTCATAAGTATATAATAAATGCTACGAGCGCGATAGCGCAGACAAAATTATTAGAGAAATTTTTGTAAAAGCGAGAAATTGAACAATAATTGCATGTTACAAGTATTATAACGCCTATTGACATACAATTAAGTCTAACAAGTATTTCGATACGTCGAATTGTAAGAAATGCTCTTAGAATTCGATATACTGAAATAATTGTTTGATTTATATGTCAATAACAGTTTTATAATGCTTATTGTACGTAATTATTGTCTAATTTCTCTCTTTTATGATATTTCTCTAATAATTTTATTAATGTAATTGAAAAACAATTTGATATTCAGAGGGTTCAATATTCATTTTAATTTCATTATTCGAATTTATAATTTAACAAAATTAACATATTTAAAGACAATTAACATATGTGAAAGACAAAAAGATAGCGTGGTAGAGGGGAAAGGTAAGAAGAAATGTGTTTTTATAAACGTGTGAATGCGTCCGGTTAGTAAAGTGCCCGTGACAACCGTGAGCGTCGTTCCTGCTTGGTTCCTATACTTGTGACACGCTAATTATTTCTCTTGTAATTTGAAAACTAAGTTTTAGACAAAATTTTTGCAAAGGAAAAATCTTATAATTAAGTCTTATAATTAAGTCAGGAATATGACAATTCAAGGACAAATGTTTATTCTAAATCACTCTTATATTTCACTGCGCAAGTTATATTAAACAAGCGAAACGGAAAAAATGAATAATCAAAATATAATAATGAAAGTAAATTATAACATTATAAGTAGGTGGAAATAATAAAGTACACGAGGCACACAACAATGTACAATGTTCGATTCTTAGTTTTATTTCGAAACATCAAAGTTTTCCGACGTTCAAAGTCAGTCAGCAGCACGATAAATCATTGACAAAACGACCGTTGATTATTATCGATTCATAAAGCATTTTCCCGCGATGGCAAACTCCCCTTCCTTTCAAATTCATCAATTTGCGTATCGACGATATATTCGGGCTACAGTTTACGCTATCCTCATTGATCGTCATGTAAACATTTTCGTCGAATATGTATATATATATATTTTCTCGAATGTAAAGTATGTTAAAACGAATTACAATTGTAATATTAAATAGTAAATAATTTTGGTTCAGTCATGGGCGCCGAGAGAATTGCTTGCAGGAGAGTGCGCTCAGAAGAATTCAAATTCGAAACATTTTTAAACAGCTAAAACGATTTAAGTTTTTGTTCCAATATTGAGTTTTTTAAAATTGATTTTTCAAAGTTTTATTACAAATGTTAATTAATGTTTATGCATTTAGTTCCTGTTTAATTGAAAACATTATTTTTCATATTATTTTTTTTTCTGTGGATTTTCTATTCCCCTCTTATTTTTAATGAGATAAGAAAGTGCAATAACAAATGTATCTTCTTGTATCCCCTTCGCGGCGCTCATGTTTAGTACCGTTTTCCGACGGATTAATGAGACGAACAGCGCAAATCGAGCTTTACTTGGCCGATTCGCGAAGCGCAAATCTAAAGCGATGCGTACATTGACAACATTCATTGATCTAAAAATGTCTTCGACACTCGAGAGTAGGAAAGGAAAGTAGGAAAAATTTGGAGTACCGAAGACTCCGATTTATTATCTTATTTTCACTCTCTTACTCTCTCTCTCTCTCTCTCTCTCTCTCTCCCCTCTTTGTCCTCTTTCTCCCATTTTCCTTCCTTCTTTCTTTTCTTTCTCTTTTGAGCATACTTTTTTACTTCCATATATCTTCTATCATATCTATCATATCATTATCTTTCGCATGCGCGCATTCCCTACATTCTTGTCTTTCTTTGGCACAAAGTCATCCGGCACTAAGTAGCTTAGCAGTGACCAGTAGTGGATGCCTTCTTCACCGTGGCCACAGTATCGGTATGAAGAAAAACATCGATAGGATGTGCGACAAGCTGTTTCCGTAGAAACCGCCGACGCCGCTGCTGGCACCGGAACTTTGAGCAGCCTCAGCTAAACCTAGAAGAAAATCATACCTTTTCACTGAAAAAAATAATCGATAGCGGAATCGCAACTGTGGAATCGCAATTGCACTACTGAGAATCAATCGGGCGCTAAATCTTATCGAAACAAACAATAGGATTGATAATGCTTATGAGTAGTGAATCTGCTATATATACTTACCACCGATAATGGATACGTGATCCTTCACTCGAGATCCTCTTTCGAAGCCAATTTTAATTTCTGAAAATGGACATCATGTAAATTTGGAAACTTTAAAGTATTGGGTCATCTAAAAAGTATCCGCGGTTTTTTGTCACTAGATGTGTGTTGATGGTCATATATCTAATGACAAAGTACCGCGGATACTTTTTAGATGACCCAATATATAAAAGGCGTATAACATAACTGACAGGTATAACTCACCATACAATCTCAAAGTGCCGTCTGCTTTTCCTAGGCTATTTGTTGAAACGCATTTGTAACTACCGACATCTCTATCCGTAAATTTTTTGATTAAGAGCCACATCAGGACCGTGTATCCCGTTCGTTCCTCCCGCACGTTGTATTTCGGTCTACGAATCATACAAATGTTATGTTAAATATTAGAATATTCTAGAATGGAAAAGAAAATGCTAGGCAAAAAATGTAAGAGAAATAGAAGAAAAGAAATGGAACTATCAATACGGATGTATGAATGAGAAATAAAGCAATACTATAGTAATGAGAAAAAACAGCTGAAAAAAAAATAATTCAACGATAAAAAAAACATGAAAAAAGTGCGCAAGAAGCAAGGAGAATTTCTTTGAAGAAATGGGGTACAAGAGCACAAACAGAGAAAATAGAGAAGAAATCCTGGAAAGAAAAGAGGAGTTAGAATCAGAGCGCATAAAGAACATAAAGCGTGGAGTAAAGATATATAGAAGTTGCTTTCCAGTAAGGACACAGACACAGTGAATTATTACATCCTTGTTGTTTGCCTACGTTAAACAAGGATAAAACAATTCATTGTGTTACGAGTGTATTACTTAGTGTCTGACTGTGTCCTTAGTGTGTGTACCTAGAGACTAGAGAGGAGACCTTCGGCGACAGGCGCGCTTCGATCGACGAAGAGGTAGAGACACTCAAGTAATGGCTCCCGCACACAAAACGCGGCAATGCTTGCCGCGCGGCAGAAGTTATCGCACTAACCAATAATTCTATGTTCTTAAGTCGGCCTCATGCAAAATTTCTAGAAATGATATAATACTTCCGCCGCAAAAGTTGGATTGAGTTTAACTTTTGTTGCGATGGAAATTATCTATTATTTCCGAGCAAGCGAGACGTTGATTATCATGCGAACTTCCACCGCACGGCAAGCGTTGCCACATTTTGTATGCAGGAGCCATAAGAGGTACGCAAACTTCGAGCATTTGCAAAAACATGGCGACCTCCATTTGTCATGTGTTTGTACGTTTGTAAATACAAATTATTAAGTTTAGACAATAATGATGTCATTATAAAATGTTATGCCACATAAGTAATATTGTAAAATCGAGGTGAAAATATTATAACGTAGACGTATTCGTCTAACCTACAATGTACATGACTTTATAATGCATAAATAAATAATTAAAAGTGATATCTTGAAAATAATAATATTTATTATATTATTTATATACGGGCTGTTGCATGCCAAATTGTAGAAATTCAGGGATTTCTTATGAAATATTTCCCAAAAGATCTGGAAAGAGGGACTGTGAATATTCCACGAGCGAATTGGATACCTATAGATTCTAGTTGTATTTATGAGGGACGGTATTTATATTTACATACATCTAGCGAACTGAATATATTGATATATATATGTATTCACTTAGCTAGATTTATGTCTTTGCTTGTGTTGAGTAGAAATAAAATACGATTACACCATAGGTTTCATCGTTATCCTTGCAACATCATTATCAACCAATCCCATCGCGACTTCAGTCGCGTATTTCTTACTTGAGGATCTCTATGAAGAGACAGCGGACGAAGACACGGAGTTAATAAGTATAGAGAGGAAACTCGCTCGGAAAGATGGTTAGCAACAGGAAGATGTAACGCAAAAGAAATATAGAAAGTAGACCTGACAGAAGATGCTCAGCAGAGAAAAGTAGGTAAAGAAATAAGTAAAAAGAAAAAATGGAAGAGAAAATTGAACGGTGCGAAACCGAGAACGGCAGAGAGGAGAGGGTAAAAGGGAAGAGAAAGAAAGGAAAGATAAGATGGGAAGAGAAAGAAAAGTACAATCTGTGGAAAAGGAAGAGAGAGGAAGAAAATGGGCATTTGAGAAAAGTAGAAAGATAGAAAGATCATTGAGGAAGGGGGAGGAGGAGGAAATGACAGGTTTAACAAAGGAGATTAGGAAGGAAATGAGAGAGTTGAAAGATCAAAGGAGAAAAACGGAAGAAACAATTGGACTGAAAGTGAGAAAAATGAGGAAAGAACTAGAGGAGAAGGGAAGAAAATGGAGAAAAAAAAGAAAAAAGAAGAAAATAGATAAACTAGAGAAGCGGATAGAAGAGTAAGAAGTGGGCAAAGGAGAAGGAAAAGAAAGAGAGGGAACAAACAAGGAGGGGGAGAGAAAAGAAAGGAGGAGTTATACAGAAAAGGAAAGATTGAAGCAGATAGAAAGAAAAATGGAGCTGAAGAGAAAAAAGAGGAAAAAGAACACAATATTATATTCGCCATGCGTTATTCGTTTCGCGTAACCGAAACACCAGTCCAAACGAACGCGTACTCTCGAATCGCGGAAATAAAAGGACATGTTAGTTAAAAAGGAGAGAACGAAGCACTTTATTGAACAATTTGTACAAGCAAAGCGTTCGTGAGCTGTGGAGAAATACCGAAACGATCAGAGCACGTGCGAGTGAAAGTAATATCTCAATCGCCAAATTTGTCAAACAGCTGAGCTGCAGCCTGTTTTAGCGATGCGTTTTTCATATTTCATTCGATTTATTCGGAGATGGCACGGTACAGGTGTTTACATGATACAGGTGTTGGCTACTAAGATTATCAAGGCACTGGAGGGATTCAAGAAGATAAATGTACTTAAGAAAGAGATGTAGGATTTGATGAAAAGGATGATGAGGCTAGATGTAAACATGGAGGAGATTCTAGAAGTGGGGAGGACAACAAGAGAAGAATGGTAGTGGTCAAGTTGAATAGCAAGGAGAAGAAGAAAGAGATAATGAAAAAAAAGATAATACTAAAAAATAGAAAGGAGAGGATAGAAGATGACTGGACATGAAAGGAAAGGAATACAATTTAATCTAACAAGAATAGTAAAAAAGAGAGATGGAAAAAGTACGACAGTAACATATGGACATATATAGATGGAGGGAAATGGTGGAGATGAGATCACAAAAATGGGATGAGGAAGATGGGATGCTGAGAACTGTAAATGAGGGGGATAGAGCTAATGAGAGCGAGAAAGGAAAGAAAAATGAGGTAGAGAGAGAGAGAGGAAGGAGAGGGGAAAAAGATGAGGAGAAAGAAGAGAACACAGGAAAGGGGAGAACAGGTGAAGAGGAGATGTAGGAGGGAGGGATAGGTAAAGGATAGCATTCTGGAATGTAGCAGGATTGTCAGGAAAGGATGAAAAATTCTATGAAGAGTTAACAAGGTGGGACATAATAGGCTTGGTGGAAACATGGAGCAGGATAAAAGGAGATTATTGAAAAGATACAATTGGATACATTAATCGGTAAGAAAGAAGAATAAAAAAAAAGGGAAATAGTGATAGAAATTAAAGAGGAGATTGAGGAAAAGCGGAGAGAGAAACAGGAAATGAAGATACAACAGAGAACAATAAAACTGGAAGGAAAAAAATGGAGGATCGTCATGATCTATGTAATGAGAGATATAAAGAAGAAAATAAAAAAGCCAATCGAGAAATTGGAGATAGAAGAAAGAAAATGAGGAATATATTTTAATAGGCGGAGATTTTAATGCGAGGAAAGGAGAGAGTTAGTAGGAGAAAATGAGGAAGAAAAGATCAAAGAACAAAAAGGAATAAGGATGGAAGAAGTTTGCAGAAAAACCTTAAGACATTATTTAAGAGGTTCTTATTTATCTTAAAATAAGAACCGACTATAAATATCGCCCTCAGTGTGCAACAAGAGAATTGAAGGAAGAAAAGACAGCAAGAGAAGATGAACTAATGAATGAAATGTGGATATACAGGGGAAAAAAAGTGAAGGAAGCGATATGGAGAACATGAGAAAATATGGGAAGAAAGAAGAATACCAGAAGGATGGAAGAAGGGGTAATAACTCCCATAACAAAGAAAAGAGATGAGGAGAGAGCTGAGGACTACAGAAGGATCACCCTGATATCGACGGAATATAAGATATATGCAGCGGTATTGGCAAAAAGAATAAGAAAGAAGATGGAACAGAAGAGGATAGAAGATTAAGCAAAAAGAAAGTTTAGAGAGGGAAGAGGAACAATAGAAAATGTATAAGTGATGAACTACGTGATAAGCAAAGAGACGAAGAAAAAAGGAGGAAAAGGGATAGTACTTTGTCGATCTGAAGGCAACGTTCGATAATGTTGAGAGACAAGAGGGGGAGAGAAGAAATTGTGGAAAGTGATGGTGAAGCGAGGAGCGATAAACTGAGGAAGAGAATTGCAGGGTTATATAAAAAAAAGTACTAAGTATAAGCATATGCAGGCTTATAACGATCGAAGTTAGATCTTTCAATGTTTAAATAATTCACAGAGAATTATATGTGTACTGTATATGTACAGGATGTTGCAGATACATACTAGGCAGTACGACGGGTTGCTCGGCAAACTTTGCATAAGCAGGCGTGGTTTAATAGGTAATGATGTATAGTAATTTTATAACATAAATTTTATAATATAAATAATAAAAATTTGTAATATAAACTTTATAATGTATAAAGTCGCCGCCATTACCTATTAAACCGCGCCTGCCCATGCAGTTTGCCGCGCAACCATCGTACTGCTTAGTATCTGCAACACCCTGTACATGTATATATATTATATGTTGTAATTATTCAAATTGCGCGCCAAAATTTTTTCGGACTTAGAAACGCAATTAAACTACTGCAATAATATCATAAATTAAATTAAATTGACAAGCAAATTTTCGATATTCAATCTGATATCATATTATAAGGATGTTAATGTGCTAAAACTTTAAATAAATTTATTACGAAAAACATTATCTTGGCCGGGACTTGAACCCGGATCTCTTGTATTCCGTACGAGCGTCCTTAGCCATTAGACCATCGAGGCCTCAGTAACATTTTTCGCAATAATCAGTATATGTATGAACACGCTTCTTGCAGGCAAACAATAATAAATATGTACACACAGTGTACAAACAATAATAAATGATTTTTATTAGGATCGACATGAAATTAAATACTAAGTATAAGCATATTTAGGCCTATAACGATCGAAGCTAGACCTTTCAATGCCTAAATAATTCACAGTGAATTATATGTATATTATATGTACATGTATATACCATATTTTATTTATTCAAACTGCGCGTCGAAATTTTTCCTAACTACAAAATATG